TATAAAAGTAATATATATATATATATATATATATATATATATATATATATAAAATATATTTAAAAATACCATCGATTCGAAAAATACTTAAATTTTGAATAGTTTAATTTTAGTATTTAATTTAATATATTTATATTAAAAGATACAGAGACGTACTTTGTCGAAGTAACTGTAAACCTGATAACGTATTTCCCATGCAAGGCGGCTGGTACGCAATGTAATCGACCTCGCGAATTAAGCTTCTTTAGTAAACGTTCAGTCAAAGTGTTTTCGCCACGAAGACGGAAGACCACCAAGCCAAGATGTCTTGGAGCAGGAATTTCGAAACGGGCATCGGCGAAGACTAGAGCTTCAAATTTTTGTGCTAACCTCACACCCTTTGAATTTAATTTTTAAATTTATATTATATGCATTTAATTTTTACGTAAAAAATTAAAAAAGAACGCTAATTTTTTTGACTTTTTATACATTTTTAATTAGGTTTAATTTCTTAATAAAAAAATATATATATTTATTTTATATTATTTACCTCTCGTATATGTTTTTGCAGGCCCGTAATTCCGTAATTTCTGATAACGAACCACAGTTTCAGAGCCCTAAATCTCTTAGATAGAGGAATCTGCCAATGCTAAAATTAACATTGAAATAAAGAGTAAGTATCGATTAAAAACTTACACATATGTATATTTTTTCTTTTAAAAATAAAGTATATAATGTCAAAAAATAATTTATTATATGTATAGTGTATAAGTAAAATTCTTATTAATTTTCTTTTATTTTCTAATTACCATATAATCAATAGCAAGACCTATTAAAAGAAAAATTTTGTTTTATAATTTAATTTTTATTATTAATAAACGTAATTAATTTAATATTCATAAAAAGATAAAGATATTTAATAATATCAATATGTTTTTAAAATATTTACATATAATACAAAAACTTTATGTATATCCGTAAGAATCAATTATAAATAATATAAAAAATTTAAAACAGAAATATCTAGTTATTCATATAACTATTTTCTCTGTATTAATAGAATTTATTAAATTATAAAACTACCTGAATTTTCATGTTTCAAATACAACGGATCCACATTAAAAGTTCTGTGCAGCGCCTGACTATTCTTTACCCTGAAAATAAAAATGTACGTCAAAGAGAAATTAATATTTAATCTTCTCTTTAACAATTTATATATGTTTGTTACATAATGGTCAATATAAAATGTGTTTCTTTTAACTCGCAATCCTCTTTGCTTACGTTTTCTAGATTATATTTTATTCAATTACACGCGAAATTAACGCTCACGTTATTTACAAAAAAAAAACATAATAATAATAATTTTTTTTAAAAGATTTACCATTATTTTTGACTATCGTAACATTCATCATTGATACAGATTCTGAATTGGAAATATTTTTGAACGTATTTGTCAGATGTAATCATCTTATAGTTATTTGCAATCACGTTTTACATTTTGCGAATTTAATCATTACCAAAACTTGCATTTGCATTTTTTATAATCTACTGTAATAAAGTAAGCTTTTTGCATAACTTCTGTTTAACTGAATAACTCTACATACATAAAAAAAACCATAATCATATAAATATGTCGCAATACGAAATGATAAAAAATATTATTAATTCGTGATTTGAAGCTATCGGCTTTAAACGCAATTCAAATAATATTCCGAAAGATTGTGAACTGCGTTCGATCGTTGGAATAGCCTCGAAAGGAAATTGCGGAAGGAACAGAAAAAGATGACCGTACCTCCGCAATTCAATTAATAAAACGAGAATCGAAAAATGATAGATAATCTCTCAAAGCACTAGTGGCTTACTTTCTTAAATTTTATCACGTGTAATCAATTAATGATATACATTGTAAAAAGTACAAGTGCAAGTTTTGACATATTGTAATCATTTTCTTTATAAATTAAAGATAAAAATATAATTATTTGAATCAAATTTATTATGCGAATATTCAGACTATTACTGCTAGAAATCGATCAAGAAAATTATTTTGTTTTTATAACACTTTTCTTTTTTATAATTCACAGATAAGATAAATACATTATGACATGGCTCATACCACATGGCTGTGCAATCGAAATGGACCATGAGCCACTTGCTTGGATTGAAGGCAATGGAATCGGTAAGTTCCACACCTTGAAGCCAACCGCGAAATTCAGGACACACAAAAGCGCTACCCGCGTAGGCAGCATCGACATGTAACCATAAGCCGTTTTGTTGACCTATAATAATAGCATAAAATATTTAAAAATTATCATAACACATTCTTTAAAAAATCACATTTGTACAAAAAAATAAACTATATAATAAATATAGTTGACACTGTAAGTAAATTTGATACTCACATATTGGTCCGATTTCTTTCAGATTATCGAAAGAGCATGCACCAGTTGTGCCTAAAGTTGCGCATACCTATGCAAAGTTGTTTCATGTACATTATGTGCAGAAAAAGACATTTTTTTAAATAATTAATTATAATAATAAATTATTTCTCTTTTTTGTATCATAGAGGTCCAATTTATTCTAAAATTTCTAAAACTTCTCATAATAACTTCAAAAATGTATTTTTCAAAATAATACGACCCCTAAATATACATATATAATATTAATAAAAAATAAAAAAATAAAAAAAATGTTTGTGTATAGATATTAGATATTAAATACGTTCACAAGTAAAACGCGAACTAAGGTCGTTATTCCATAAAAAACTCAATTTTAATTAAACGTAGTATATAATGTTATATATTAACATATGTTAATATTAACATATGTTATAACATATAAATATATATGATATATATGTGTAACTAAGATATATATACATATATAATAAATTTAACATAGTAACCTACAGTTTGTTTCAATGTTTATTTCTTTGGTTAATTTTAACGTTTGTTAATTTTAATCGTATTATTATTGTTTCTTTGTCTATTTCCCATGGCAGAATCTAGGTAGATATATCTAACCGATATTAAAGGAATTGACTGTTAATCGCGCATCTCTTGTCATCATGAGAAATTAATAATTGGCAAAATAAACTCCGGAAAAATATTATTCCATTGCGAAAAATTCCGATTATAAATATTTTTATTACGGGCAAATTCGCAAGACTCAAATCGGACTAGGAGATTCCTATGGGACTAACTAGCGCGACGTCAAGCCGGCTTGACTCACGAAACCCGCGCTCGTCTGCTGCAGGAGATATATCTATAATTGGCGAACTGGCCGATCTAAACGTATACTTGTACTACTAGCTTACAAAGGCTTGCGCTTGAGACGCAACATTAGTAATCGCGGATTTAGTTGTTCCTGTGTTATTATTAGAATCTGGTATGTTGCGATCTGCTCTAGGCTGCTCTAATAAATTTTTAATAAGAAAGTTGCATAGTAAAATAAATAATTAAACTCTTACAAAAAAAATATGTGATAGAGAATTATATTTATTATACAGATAATAAAATAAAATTATAAAACAATAAACTAATAGAAGATGTCTTATGCTTTTAATATAGAGAAAATATAGAAAAAAGAAGGAGAGAATAAAGAATAAATACAGTACAATTATTTAATATAAGGGTAAAAATAAATAAATAAATTATTATTATTATTATTATTATTATATGTATCAAAATCTCAATAATTCGAAAATCACAAGAAAAATAAAATTATATATTCGATGATAATTAATAAGTGGATTGTACCAAACGTATTCAGCAAATTGTTTGGATGCAAACATGCGTTAAATATATATATCAGAAACTTATATTTAGCGAAAATAGACCATTTATAAAAACTTACGAAAAAAGGAAGCAATCCCTCAGCTCGATCACGCGTTAACGCTTCAAGTAAAGCATCCCCTCTCATGCTGAACTCACTATCGGATTCGATATATCGCATTTGAACCAGTCCTATAAGTCCAGCTTTTTCCACGCTCGAATGTGCCTATCGAACGAATAACAATAAACATACAAAATAATTTATAATAAAGTAAACGTCTTCTAATTATTAAATCTTTTGTTTTTAAAAAAAATATTCAATTTGTTACTTTACGCAAGCTCTAAAAACTTTAACTCTTCTCATAAATCGAATTTTAAAGTTATCTTACTGATCTTTATAAGAGCTAACTCAAATATAATATTTTTAATTTAACGTTTTTAAAAATGTTAATAATTTAAAAAAAATTTAAATGCGAAAACACTTATTGAAAAAATAAACACCATTTATTTCACATATCCATCAAAGACAATAACAAAATGTTTTAATATTCGATGAGAAACTTATTCCAATACGCGAATAGTATACATCTTCATTTATCCATGTAATATATCTAAGTGCATTTTAAAAAGCTCTCGAAGGAACGCCTTGAGATTTCTATTCATCGCAATGTGCAGTATTTATTATTCTCCCTGCTATTAAAATGTTTATTATTTCTTTTCTCGTTATTTTTACGTATTGTTCCCAACCGTCGCATACGTTCAAATAAAACGTCAGAAGAATTTACACTCTCTTACTTCATCTTTTAGATACGTTTCTAAATTTCTTATACTCAATCAGAAGCTGCGACTACAGACCTGATCTGAGCAGTATGCAACTAGTCGCGAGTTGATCTCCGTCGCCAAAAGATCTGGCTCGTTCTCCTGCACGTCCCTGATAGCTCTGGTTCTGGCTGCAAGTAAGCACACTAGCGTCGCTTCTGACGCCGTCGTTTGAATGACGCCGCCACCAGAACCGCCGGGTCGATGCAGGAAATCTTCAGGCAATCCAATCATTTTGCCTAACCAATTCATGACGATTGTTTCTAACTCGGTACACGCCGGACTGGAAGCCTACATAAACAATCTTATCAAATTTAAATCATATCGCATCAAGGCGATTAATTTTTTCAAGACTTGTTGATATAGATTATTTTGATATATTAATTCGCATGCGCAATTACTCCCTATGTTATTAATTAAATAATTAAAACACATTAATATATTATATGTGAGATAAACTTTAAACAATTATATAAAAGACATAAACATGTATTTTAAGTCTCATAATGTTTTGTTAAGTATCCCATATTTTGCAAATTGTAAAAAATCTTAAATTATTTTAGATCCTAACTAGAAATAAAAGAACATATTTTAAGAAAATATTAATCGGTCTCTTCATTAATTTAAAAGGATTCGACATACGATTATTGCGAAATAACGAAAGCAATTATGTTAAGGGGGCATACCTGTTTGAAACCTCGAAAAATGAGTACATATTTTTAGATTTTTTTGCAGCGCAACGACTTGATAAAAATTTTTAATTTTTTTACAATATTAGTACAATATTATTAACTACTTAAATAAAAATTTTCAGCCTAAAAAATTTTTTTTTTTTAAGTTATGCGAATATTTGCAGATTTATGTTTTCATGCACGGTGTGCATGAAAACTCGAGCTACGTTCGACGGATTGACTTCAAATTTTACATATGAGTTTCTAATAAGATTCCGCATCTGCCAACGAAGCCTCTTTTTAATCCGATTCCCCATTTTTTTGTTATAAAAAAAAAAAGATGGACTTTTTTCCAAAAAATCGAAATTATTTTTCAGCACGCCGCTATTTTTTTATTTTTTAAAATTTTGAAGAAACGCTTGGATAGCAGATAGCTATTACAATGTTTAATAAGAAAAAACTTGGAATTTTGATTTCAGATATGATCTACGAACGTTTTCATGCACACCGTGCAGCCACCTAAAATTTGGAGGAGCTCCGCAAATATTCCCATAACTTCCCAAAAAAATTTTTTTAAACTGAAAATTTTTATTTAAGTAGTTAATAATATTGTATTAATATCGTAAAAAAATTAAAAATTTTTATCAAGTCGTTGCGCTGCAAAAAAATCTAGAAAATGTATTCATTTTTCGAGGTTTCAAACGGATATGCCCCCTTAATATATTGATTATTTTACATATTATATATGAAAAAACAGGTATACACAATATTGTGCTTACCCACGTGAAACCCAGACAGTTTATTGCATCGGCCAGCATGTCGCCCAACAAACTGGCAGGTGAATTCAGAGCCGGAAAGTAGGCATGCATGTGCGGACTCTGCCAATGCGTTACGCCCGGCATGATGCATTTTTCAACATCGGCGAATATGTCTTCCCAAGACTCGCCGTCTACTGGAGCCGACGCCGGCAGGACATTTCTCAAATATCCCGGCGAAACTGCTGGATAAACGCGTCGATAACGGATATTTTCCAGGTAATCGGCGATGTAATCTACCATTTCCTTTCCTATAAAATTTTCAAATATTTACGATTTTTGCCGATATGGAAATACTGCAGAAGACATATTCTTTCATAATTGCCATCAATTGTCATTTATTAAAAATTTTCTAAACCGAAAAATACGAACATGTACTAGAATTTAAAATTGTAGTGGTAAGCATTGTAAGTAAACTGCAGAAATTGAGTTTGCGAATCCTCTTCGCTTAAAATTTAACGTATTTGTCATTATCTCGTAGCTGAATGCAATCAAACAGAAACAAAAGATACATTGAGGTATCAAGAAGCTATTCTGTGCCAAAGAAAAGTCCAGATTTTTCAAAGGTGACATTATTTCGCACAATCGGAATTCCTTGTTTGAAAAACGTATTTGGAAAAGTAATTGTACGTAATTGTTCTTTCTAATATATAGCATTTTAAACAAGAGCTGTATTGCTGAAATGCACTCTGATAAATGAGAACAAGTTTCAGAATAGTTCTTTAGTTATTTTCTCTATCCATTTATTTACTTTAATTTATGTTCATTTATTTATTAATTTACTCTATTCAAACATGTTTATAAGTATTTCAAAAAAATAATTTATTGTATTTATTGTTATTACTAACAATTATCGATAAACGGATAATCTTGTATTGTAGTATAAAGTGATATATGTATTTTATATTGTCAGCTTAATTTAGCGGGACCGATGAACAGAACGATCGACTGAGATTGAAATCGCGGAAGAAAAGCGAGTCCACGCCAAGTCTCGTAGTTCCGAAGCGGAAGATTTAGATTGTAACGTCACTATGTTGTATTGGAAACAATATCGCACCTATAAAGCCTCTACCAATTCTACCAGTGATCTCTATTTATTTGATGCTGTTTGAATGTCGTGTAATCATTGCTCTGAAATTGCTGGATTTATTCATCGCGGCAGATTCTAACACGTGACTTTGATTCTGATTTACACTGATCTATATTAACAATTAAATCTTTTAATTTTTAAATTTTTGCGAAATATTATCACATATATCACTTTAATTTGTTTTTCTCTTAATATCTAAGTGGATTTATATAATTAAATGTCAGTTTATATGAATATTCGCTGATAGATAAATTCGAATAATAATAATCTCACAAATTTTTATTATTTTTAATGTCATGTTCATTGTATGTATATTTACTTACCATGTCTGCGGTACTCCTCCAAATTCATTCTATCTGCAACAGATGATATAAAACACTTAGAATTGTTAAAAAATCCTAGAGATTCATATATTTCAATATAAATATTGTATTAAACAATTTCTTGGTTTATATAGATAACAAAGACTTTTTATGTTGCAAAGATCTTTTATGTTGCAATTGATTGACAATAATAATCGAGAAAATGCGCAAACAAAGAACTCCCTACCCCTCAGAAAAAATTGTAAGCGCTAAATGTCAGAAGTAATATTTTCATAGAAAAATATTGCTACGTATAGTACAAAGATAGCGACATACATAACTACAAAAAATTTTTATAATAAAATATATAACATAAAAATTAATAATTTTTATACTAAAATTGTATATTATTTTATGTGATATTTTTTTACGTCATTTACAATTTATCATTGATTTATTAACCATACCTTATCGGTTACATGTGATAATTTCTTATCAGATCGGATCACAAAAATTCCCACACACTGATCTATATCCGCCGGGCGCTCTTCAGCTCAAAGCTGATAAGAAAATTAATCAAGACTTGCAACTTGAAATCAATGGAAACAATTTTTTAATTACCCGACGAAAATCTGTGGAATTTACTCGCGAGATTTTTACACGGGCATCGCCGACGCGCGATTACAGGAGGACGAACGACGTTGACATAGTACGAAAATTCGCGATGCGAGTTAATTTCTACGGATTCATCATCGATCCAGGTAGCGTCATATGTGTGTCGAGCTTCTTAAGATTTCGTCACGGCCTAGAACCTAGATCGGTCGTCATCAGGTCTTCGTCAATACAACAGTGACGCATATAATCCTCAAATACGATCATAGATTTTACTTAAAGTTTAATACACATCCTATACATCTTTGACAATTTCAATTACTCGCTTGAAAACAAATACGTCTACTTGCTTATTCTCTCAATTTAACTTCTTGCGATACTTGTTATTTCAGAAATTAAAATTGTCGCTAAAAGGAAGATTTTTCATTGATATTCGAAATCTGCAGAAGATCGTGACACACAAATTTCCTACAAGTTATACTAAAACAAGATCTACACAAATTGTTTCAGTCATTAGCTGTTTGTGCTACTTGTTGTACTAATACTAGAGAAACGTATTCTAAATAAGGTAAAATAACTTTTTATCATATATAATTATTACAGTTTTTCAATCTATTTAATTTATTTATTCATCGTGTTATTAGCTCTTGTGTTGGTTTTTCTAAATTTATAATTATCTAATTGTATAAAACAGATATAAAGATAAATGAGATAGCATTATGAGTTTGTAAATAATTTCTTCTTGTTTTAAAAAACACAAAATTCTACTTTTGATTACCACCAGTATCCACTATTTGGCAGTTCGTATTCGCACATAAATAAACTCGAGAAATTTTATCGTCGATTATATATTGATATGCACAAATCTTCTTACGGTTTATTTATAATCAAATAAGTTATTAACTCATTTTAATGCCAAAAACCAAATTAATTTTTTGTACATTTATTTTGCTAAAGGATCTTCGTATTCAAAATCTTATTTTTGATAAATAGAGCAAGATTTAACAAAGAATTTATATCGTAAATATTACGCCACACACACAACTCTCATGTTATTACATTTTTTACATTTTGTTATTACATTATTAGTAAAGCTTTTCTCACTGTGTAAAATATTTCTGAACAGATTATTTATGAACAAATTATTTTTTAAATTCGCTCTCTTTTTCTTTCTCTCCCTTTTTTTCTCTTATATTTTTTTCTTTTATATTTACTTAAGATTAAACAATTCCTGCAGAATTAATAATTAATAAAAAATTAAAGAATTTTTAAAAATTTTTTAAGAATGCACGAGAAACATGATAAATCTTTAAAAAATAAAATCAAGAATTCAAACTTTTCTTCCGTATTTGTCAAAATTTATAATTTATTTTTTATTTGTAATTTATACGCACTCACACACACACACATACATACATATAAAAAAATCGTCCACACACACACAAAAAGATAATATTTTATATATAACTGAAATCATTAATTACTAAAATTGTATATTATTTTATGTGATATTTTTTTACGTCATTTACAATTTATCATTGATTTATATTAACCATACCTTATTGGTTACATGTGATAATTTCTTATCAGATCGGATCACAAAAATTCCCACACACTGATCTATATCCGCCGGGCGCTCTTCAGCTCAAAGCTGATAAGAAAATTAATCAAGACTTGCAACTTGAAATCAATGGAAACAATTTTTTAATTACCCGACGAAAATCTGTGGAATTTACTCGCGAGATTTTTACACGGGCATCGCCGACGCGCGATTACAGGAGGACGAACGACGTTGACATAGTACGAAAATTCGCGATGCGAGTTAATTTCTACGGATTCATCATCGATCCAGGTAGCGTCATATGTGTGTCGAGCTTCTTAAGATTTCGTCACGGCCTAGAACCTAGATCGGTCGTCATCAGGTCTTCGTCAATACAACAGTGACGCATATAATCCTCAAATACGATCATAGATTTTACTTAAAGTTTAATACACATCCTATACATCTTTGACAATTTCAATTACTCGCTTGAAAACAAATACGTCTACTTGCTTATTCTCTCAATTTAACTTCTTGCGATACTTGTTATTTCAGAAATTAAAATTGTCGCTAAAAGGAAGATTTTTCATTGATATTCGAAATCTGCAGAAGATCGTGACACACAAATTTCCTACAAGTTATACTAAAACAAGATCTACACAAATTGTTTCAGTCATTAGCTGTTTGTGCTACTTGTTGTACTAATACTAGAGAAACGTATTCTAAATAAGGTAAAATAACTTTTTATCATATATAATTATTACAGTTTTTCAATCTATTTAATTTATTTATTCATCGTGTTATTAGCTCTTGTGTTGGTTTTTCTAAATTTATAATCATCTAATTGTATAAAACAGATATAAAGATAAATGAGATAGCATTATGAGTTTGTAAATAATTACTTCTTGTTTTAAAAAACACAAAATTCTACTTTTGATTACCACCAGTATCCACTATTTGGCAGTTCGTATTCGCACATAAATAAACTCGAGAAATTTTATCGTCGATTATATATTGATATGCACAAATCTTCTTACGGTTTATTTATAATCAAATAAGTTATCAACTCATTTTAATGCCAAAAACCAAATTAATTTTTTGTACACTTATTTTGCTAAAGAATATTCAAAATCGTATTTTTGATAAATAGAGCAAGATATAATAGAAAATTTATATCGTAAATATTACGTCACACACACAACTCTCATGTTATTACATTTTTTACATTTTGTTATTACATTATTAGTAAAGCTTTTCTCACTGTGTAAAATATTTCTGAACAGATTATTTATGAACAAATTATTTTTTAAATTCGCTCTCTTTTTCTTTCTCTCCCTTTTTTTCTCTTATATTTTTTTCTTTTATATTTACTTAAGATTAAACAATTCCTGCAGAATTAATAATTAATAAAAAATTAAAGAATTTTTAAAAATTTTTTAAGAATGCACGAGAAACATGATAAATCTTTAAAAAATAAAATCAAGAATTCAAACTTTTCTTCCGTATTTGTCAAAATTTATAATTTATTTTTTATTTGTAATTTATACGCACTCACACACACACACATACATACATATAAAAAAATCGTCCACACACACACAAAAAGATAATATTTTATATATAACTGAAATCATTAATATCATTATGCGGATGCATTTTACTTACATCTAACATATCTTTGTTTACCATCTCTATCGCAAAATAATTTTAATAACATTGGCACAATACAATTTGAAACTTATTTTTAATGATTCTTTTGCAGTAAAAATTATGGCAAATAATAATTTAATAATTCTTATTTTATATTTAAAAGCAACAGTTATGCAACAATAAGAACAATTATATACACTAATTATATTTTTGATTAACTGAGTTTAAATCTCTTAGAAGATGCAAGGGTAATACTCACAAATAAAACTTTATCTAATGACCATTATAAGACCATCTGCCATTTAATAACTACAATGAAAAATATCCAATACTGAGCAACACGTGCACTATGCAATTTTCCCTTTTACTAAAACAATATTACAAAAGAAGATTTGCACACATAGAAAAGATAGAATCGTTCTATTTGATTTAGCGACTCAAAATAACTCCGCAAATTTCGATTATTATAAATAAATCTTTTTATGATTTTATAATATAAGAATTATTTTCACTTTTCATTTCTTATTTTTCCATTCTTTAATCATTATGATAAATTGGTAATAATGTTTAGAGTATATTCTCAGGAAAAAAAAATAAGTAAGAATATTATAAACACAACTTGCAATTTGTATTATTGAATTTTTCATGTTTCTCGTTCTTCTCTTGTTCAAAAATAACTCGTCATGATTCAGATCATCCCAGATTCTTCGTTTATTAAATGCATTGAACGAATTTCGTTGAATAAGTTGAAAAAATGGTTTTCTGACTACAGATAGATCGAGATCGCGCCTTTGACAAGACGATCCACCTCGTAGATGTGGAAAGAATTGCGAGACGAGCGTGCAATGGAAAATCGAACCGGTCGCAAGCAACAGCGAGGATCTAAAGCCAGAATGACGCCCGGCGATATTAAAAGCTCGTCCTTCCTCTGTTTCCGCTTCCGACTTTTGTAATTTCCCGTAGCTTTCACCATCGCAGCGTGGTTTGCCGAGGGATTTATCCGCAACGCCGTCGACCGCCCGCGGATTCTTCTCCAATGATTCGCGATCCAACGCGGAAAATGCCAGTAAGTGCCAGTTAGGCCAGCGGTACTATCAAATCGCTTTGGCGATTATCGAGTAATTTAATGTCAAATTATCATATTTCGCGAATATACGCACAAGCGAATCAATTATCTTCGTATTAATATGCGATCTTTAACATTTAACAAAAAAATATATCATACGAAGGAAATAAAAGGCAATCAA